CCTGAGCACACTGACAGACCATCAGACCCTCTTGCCCCTGTGGCCAGGGCCCCAAGGGGTCAGCTGGCAGCTCAAGGAGGACAGGACCAAGAGGCAAGTGAAGGGAGAGTGGGGCGCTGGCCCTGGCTCTGCTACTGCAGGGCTGTGTGATCTCGGGCAGGTAACTCCCTCTCTCTGGGCCACCGTTTGAAAGACGGATCACTGAGGAACTGGGACAGCTGACCAGTGTCTCTGCTGGTGGGAAATGGGCCCCACCTCTCCTCCACCTGTCCACAGGTGCTGCCATGCCCATGACTGCTGTTACCAGAAGCTCTTTGACCTGGGCTGCTTCCCCTATGTGGACCCTTATGACTACACCATCGAGAATGGTACCATTGTCTGCAGTGAGTCTCTCTCCCCCCGTTGGGTCCCTGAGTAGGTGGGTGGGGAGGGTGGCTGGGGTGGTGGTGGTGAACAGCACAAGGGCTACCAGCTCCACCCACCTGTGGTGGGTCCGTGGGCAGGGTTGCCCGCTAAACACTGTTCAATTTGAATTTCGGATGATATTTGCGTGTCACAATGCAAGCATATCCTAAATATTACATGGATGTGCTTATCCTAAAACGTTAAGTATTCGTCTCATGTGAATCCACCCACGCACACCGGGAATTATCATCAGTACACAGGGAAGTACTAGTGCACGGGGCGTATTCACCCTAAAACAACTTTGGGGGAGTGTCCGAAATAGACATTTAACCTGTGGCCTGCTTCTGCGTTGCTGACTCTGACACGCCTCGCCCCGGGATCTGGTGGGGATCTGGATGAGCAGATCCCCAAGCCAGGGTCGGGTGCCTGGTCTCCACCCCCAGTGGCTGAGCTCTGGGAAGCTTAGGAGAAACACTTAGAGGTTCTTAAACCAGAACCCTAAGTGGTCCTGAGCCCGCCCTTCTGTGCGTCCGGCTTTGTAAACACAGACCTGAGAGTTGGGAGCCCTGGGCATAGTCTCCATCTCCTCACTGTGCACACCTGGGCGAGCCCCTTCCCACCTGGCCTCATCCTGTGGGTACACTGAGGGGCCCCGTGTTCCTGCCAGCGGTCCTAGGATACAGAGACAGGCCTGGCAGAGCTCCCTCCTCCGCAGATGACTGAAGCTTGCAATCTCGCAGGACAGGTGACCCAGCCGTGCCTCCCCGCCTGCCCAGGCCTCCGGCAGCCACTGGGCTTTCTCGGCCTTGTGGTCCTCGCCAGGCCCTGCGTGGTGTTCTGTACCGATGGCTCAAAGAGCGCCTGCTTTGCAAAGAGACTTGCATCTCCTGTGCTCTGGGAAGCATCGGGGAACTGGGCCCCTTTGAGACCCCTTGGAAGCCCAGGGCCCCAAGTCTGCTGTCCTGGCCTGGGGAAGGGGAGTCCCCTCATCCAAGGAGTTCAGGAAGAGGCAGAGGCTGGGTTCAGAGAGCTCCTAGGGACATGGGCCTGCTGTCCCACAGGGTTGCCTGAGCATATGTTGCTTACTCAGCCGTTTCTCGTGCGGCTGCCTGCTGTGCCGGCCCCTCTGCCCAGTTGCCTTTAAGGGAGATAATTCTGCCAAAGGAACTCACGACTGTTTGCAAACCACTCACTCCGCCCGTGGTTCTCAAAGTGGGTTTTCTGGAGCAGCATCAACAGCGTCACCATGGAAAGCGTGGGAAAGGCACCTTCTCAGGCCTGCCCAGCCTGACGGACTTGGAAGCCTAAGGGGTGGGTCAAGGGGGTCTGTGCTCTAACCTGGCCGCCGCCTGATTCTAGCACCCCCTTAAGGTTAAGAACCGCTGGGTCTCGATGGTTTCCGGAGGCCGGACTAGCTCAGCTGGTAGAGTAGGAGACTCTTAATCTCAGGGTCCTGGGTTTGAGCCCCACATTGGACCTCTGTTAGGTGCTCTGGGAG